TATTATGTCATGTTTATTTTTGCATAGTTAACGAATTTGGGATACCTGAAATTTTTGGTTCAAATTAAAATGTAAACTGAACCAAAACTGCATTTTCGGTTCAGTTTTGGTTTGGGCATTGAACCGAACTGAACCGAACCGTTCAGAGCTTTAGGATAATCCAATTTCACTTTAAGTTTATAATATGGCTGTTCTATCAAGTCTTCAAATTTGTCTTTATCATTTTCTCTGCTGATATCAGCACATTCATGTTAGCAATTTTACTATTTGTGTGAAGTGTCTACATCAAAGAAAGTTAAAAAAATAACTAACAATATTTCTGATGGGTGAGCAGCATATGTTAATTTACCCTCATTAGCCAAAGTGATAGTCATATTTTTAAAGTCTAAAAACGATTTTGTTATACTGTGATCATCAATAATCCATTCCTGTACAGTATACATAAATTCTAGTTATATTTGGCAGTTTAAATAATCAAATATGGATTTAGAAAGCTTGCAATCACATATATCAGCAATGGCTTTTGGCTTGATTTTGAGATTTTCTTTTCAGTTTATTTATAAAATCATTCTCAAGAGGATGCTTGACAAAAACATTGGAAAAGCCTTCAGATATAATTTCTTGGGTATTGTTCTCTGCAGCTTCATGATATAGATTAGTACTACTAATACTTCCAGTGAAAAAGTGCATTTTTGTATGGGAATGCATACCAATAATGTGACATGCCACTGATATGGAATACATAATTACATGATAATAATACACATGGGATTATGGAAAACATATTACTAATAAAATAATTAACTCATGAAAAATATCTCAAACAACAGAGAAGTAAATATTATAGCATTCTAAAATATAACATATATCATCTTCATCATCATAAATAATCATCATAAATAATCATAATAATAATTTAATAAATAACACTGTCCTTAACCTTGTCCCTGTCCCTTGTTATAGCCTTCAAATTTATATTTTTGTAATAATAATAAATCTATAACAATGAATTCACACTAATCCCAAGCATAATAAATTTATATTTGTCTATTATTTTTTTTTTTTTTAGTGAGATAATATTTGATGAATTTTATTTAGTAGTTTTGGATATGTACCTGACTTGGTAGTAAAGAGGCTAACAGCTAGAAGGGCACCCACCAAAAAACACAATCAGGATATCTAAAGATATTATTTAGTATTTCTTAGTGTAAGGAATTGTTTAATGATAGT